CCATCACAAACCTACAGATGCTGACAAATCTTTTTCCTCCTAGCAGTTCAATATAGGGTCCCTTCCGCATATCTTTGAGCACTACAATGTGTGGAGAGGGTAAAAAGAAACATCTAAATGCAAGCCTCACATGATTATGACCACAAAGGTGCCTCTTTTCCATAGCAATGCAGTCGAAAAACTGTGTACTTGAACTACAAATTTCCAGCATAGGCAAGACGAATACTCTACCAAGTGAAATGATGCTTACTCCTGTGACAACCGATTTTCCCAAGATATCCACCTGCAAGATGAAAGCTGCTCTAACTCTAGCTTTGTGCCTCACTTCCAGTAGTTTATAAGGTCATGACAAAGGTGTAGCTGAGGAGAATTATGCCCTTCACAATCACGCTAATCAAAATTCGTCCCCCAAGGATTATCTAGTTATGTTAGGCAGTTACATGCCCTCCAAACTACTGCCATTCACAATTACATGCCCTCTAACAAAGCAGCCATAAGACTTAGTACACTAGAAAACCTCTTACTGAAGTTATGATCATGAACCCAATTGGGTAAAATAACGATAATACTCACCATCTGATAGACTCATATGTGGAAAGAAAAACCAGGTTACTGTCCAACTCGAGATACAAATACTACACAAAATCTATGACCAGTACTAGCTAAATGAGGTCAGTACTCCCTCATTTTCTCCAAACACAGAATACCATTGACAGAGGTTAGGTTACAACAGTTTTACCAACACAAAGAACAGTCAGCACTCGACAGTACCTTGACACAAAGCTGATCACTAGCTATCCGAGGTTCTCAAATCTAAAAGGCAACAATAAGAATTTGCAACATCCTTTGCCTTTGATAAAGTCTCTCTCATCTTGTGCTGCTTGCTTCTCAGAAAGTGAACAAGTAAAGCCCAGAAACTTTGCAGAACCTCGACATATAGACTTATAAAACGATGACTAAATGAAAATCATGTGTATGCGAAGGTGAATTCGTCTAAAAGATAAACAAGCAGAACATGTGGACATAACTACATAATTTGGATGAAAGCTAAACAAGGAAGTGGTGAGTGTCAATAGAACTCACGATTTTGCCATCCCTCTTTGCTTCTGTTAGTTTCTGATCCCAGCTTTCTTTTGTAGTAATCAGGTGCACATTTCCACCCACGAATTCAGCATTGTGGACAGATTCATCTCCATCATTCTTTGGCTTTAAGTGTCAAACCAGAGAAACAATTTGTCAAAAGCAAACAAATGGTATCCAAAAGACAACAAAGACCAAAAACTATGTAATTTCACCTTCATTTCCACTCCCCTCTTCTATCTCTCACTTACCTTTTCCTAGTGTGGCTCCAAGACCAAAACTGTATACTAACATCCTACACTGTGGTCAGGTACGTCTATATCAGTTTGAGAGCTTAAATCCTTGATTTCTACCTACTCTAGAACAAGTCAACATATTTGAGTGTGTTGACAATTCTCCTAAAGTTATTCGTCAATAGGGGGAGATTAGACGTGTTTTAGCCACAGACCATAGCCCAACCATATCCTGTAAACCAGAGAAACTATTTATCGGTGCGACTAACAAAGCATGCCATAACCAATAAAATTATCAACATCCCAGTGGAAGACTCGGGCCGATCACCAGAGGATGGGTGTCGTTCTTTTTTTTTTGTGGACCCGGGCAGAGAGGAGGGCTGAGGAAGAAACGGAAATATACCTTAGCCAAGCAACTGCCCATTTGATACTCGACGGCCAAGTGGGATAATTCTCGTGAAGGGGAGCAAATGAAATGAAGAGAATCCAGTCCACCCCAGAAATCTGAAACAAATCTGCTACGGCAAAGGGAATCGAAATGAGCTGGGATTAGGGATTGTTGTTGTCGTTGTTATTAATTATTAGACGGAACCCCAAAATTTTGTTTTTGTTTCCGCCGGGGAGGGGGTTTGCGTGTACAAGATTTTACGGTTGGATTGTAAAAGCAGGAGGCGGAGGAGGAGGCGACGAAGGAAGCAGAAGAGAGTGATGATCTGAAAGGAGTATTTGGTAAAGCGATTTTTGGATAACTGCAGAAATTGGAAATACTCAAATACAGAGAGAGAGAGAGAGAGTTTATTTAATCCAATCCCTCATTTTGTAGTGATTGGTAACAAATTGCGAAAACCATCTTTCTGCGACTGAAATTCCAGCCAGTACTGTTACAACGTTGTCCCATTATCAGGCATTAGCTACTAAACCCCAAAATCTAACAAATTTACTGATGATTATTAGTGTATTAGTCCGTCGTATGCGGCCAGATTACGGAATTCACCTAAAGCCCAAAAAAACTCCCACATTTTTAAATAAAAAAAAATTATTTTTAATACTGCTACTATTAGTAAAGTAGTAGTAGTACTCAGTAAGCCAATCCCAATGGAGCGGGTTTGGCTGAAACTAACGCATGATGATGATGACAACAAAGCAATAAAAACATCTTCCAACTTGTGGCACATTCCTAGCTGGCTGTCAACTCAAGAAAGTGAAAAAAAAGTTGGGGATAATTTCAGAAACCTCCCCTGAGGTTTCTGACAATTTCACTGACCTCCCCTGAGGTTTCCACAATTACACTAACCTCCCTTGAGGTTTCTGATTTTGTAACAAAATCAGCCCATGACCACAAAAGTAAACATAAAAAAGTGTTTTCAGGAAAGAGAGGAAATTTTGTTCCCATAAATGCCCTTAAGGTAGGTGTACAAGTTATATTAGTGAATTAATGAAAACTAATAAAAATCAGAAATAAATAAGAAAAAGTGAGGGGATGGGTATGGGAATCATAAAATTTTACTTATGGATATAAACAATTGGGTAACGCAACCGACCCAATTAACCCATCTACCACCACTCAGGTCATTTCACAAATACATTCATCAGACAAAGCTTTCCTCTTGTCACAAAAATTCAAAGCAATGTGGTACATGTTCACAAGCAAGCAGGTTAAAATCCCGCCTGCATAATAACGTTGAAACCCGCAAGCGGGATTCTGTGTTTTTTCTATTTCAAGGTTAGCTCGCATGCGGGTTAATGTTATATTTGAGCGCGAGAAGAAAAAATTGGTAATTAGGCTCTTTGGGCATTATAAGTAAATATTTAAATTAATGGCAGTTTTATTACACCAATATTATTGTATTATCATTATTATGATTATTGTATTATTTCTTATGCAAATATAACATTTAATTATTTAAATTTGATTTTATTTTTACAATTTATAAAATTTTTATCACTTATATAATATTTTTAAAACCCTAATACATCTAAATTTGATTTTATTTTTCAAATTTATAAGATTTTTATTTAAAAAAATGGGATACGGATAAGATATCCGGTTGGTTCGATTTGCATAGGTGCATATGAGAATATCCGAATACTCTTTAAACCCGCATGCGGGTTTAAGGAGATTATGGCAACTCTCTGACACACTAGTTACCCGTCCAACTTGTGTGTATTAAAATATATTTAAATATTATATTTCATATTTTTGTTATTTAGAGTTTAACAAAACATTAATATTGGGTAGATTTGAGGGATATGCATAATTTTGCATATTTGTAGGAATATTAGAAAATGGAAAATTTGGGTAAATTCCCAAATTTTGGAGGTAAGGTGTAATCCAAGAACTAAAACAGTCATTTATAAAACATTAACAGTAATAAGGTGCAAACCAAAACTGCAATCCAAGAGTAATATCATTACAAATTTCATAACCATACATTAAATAAATAGAAATGCAATCCAATACTATCCAAAAACACCATCTGCCTTATCATATTTTAGTCCTATAATAACACAAAATGTCTTGGGTATAATAGTAATTTTGCATTATATGATGTCAGCAATTGGGTCCCAAGTTCTGCCAGGGGAGGTCAGTGTAATTGTGGAAACCTCAGGGGAGGTCAGTGAAATTGTCAGAAACCTCAGGGGAGGTTTCTGAAATTATCCCAAAAAGTTATGCTTGCTTTGACTCATCTTATTAATATAATATATTTTTCCTTCTTCTTGTGGTGAATGGTGAATTGGTGATCGTTCTTTTCTCTTTGTTTTGGGTCAGGCTTTCTCTGGAACCATTCTGATTTATTTGTTAGTTGTTTCTCTTTTTCCGGGTTTTGATTTGAGAATGTGGTTTTCTTGTAAAGTTTTGCTAATCTATTTGTTTGATTTAGTAGTGTGTTTGGTTTCGTATTAGTAGTTTGTTTGCCCTCATCTTTTGCGCTCTTTTATGTTGTGCTTTGCTGTGACTTGACTGTGTTTGGTTTCGTTCTGGTTTGGTTTTTGTCTGAAAATGTCTGATGTTTACCTGTGTTATCTCTTTTGTTTCCTGTTTTTAAGTTCAATCTGATATTCAATTGAGAATTCTGAGAAAATTAAAAGGAAATTTGTCTGAAGAATTATATATAAGTTTAGCCCCTCTTGGCTAGGCATCACCGCTCAAGTGAAACATAATTGGAGTTCAGAAGAAGATTGGGCATAAGGGATTTCTGTTAACACCTATTATTGTAATCTGCAAGGGGTATGGCCATTTTGAATCTGCTTATTATTAAAGATTAACCTTTGGTTGTTTCGTGGGTGCTCTCTTTATATTAAATTTTGCTCGAATTTTGGTTCAATATATAATTTTTGGGTTTATCTATAACTAAAGTTCTGTTTAATAATTCGATTCTGCACTTAAATTTGATGGATTCAAATTTTAATATATTCAATTGCATTTGTTAATCAAAAATAGAATATTTGAATTAATTAAATGGCACAGAATTTTCCAGACAAAATCTGATCCAAAAAATAAATGATAAATTATTCACTTATCACTTATACACTCAAAACATGTCAAATTTAATAGTTAATACTTTATTAAATTAATTATTTCAGATTTCAGATTTCAAAATTTTAATTTTCCTAAATTTCATCGGAATCCATTATTGGATTCAGTTTTGGATTAGCGCAAATAATTCTACTAAACTGGGCATCTACGTCTTTTTACCCGCCGCGCTCGGCATCTACGTCTTTCTACCACTGGTGGCATTAAGGGGGCTTGTTCTCTTCCGAAGCTTTTCCCATTTTCCCGAATCCAATCTGGGGAAGAGCACGGGCCAAGTGGCCGTTCTTCTTTCGAATTCTTGCAAGGGAAGGGAGGACAGCTGTTACTCTTGTTTGGGCAAAAGGCTATTGCTGGTTTCGTATTTTCAAGAATTCCGGGAACACTACCACCACCACATTTTCCTCCGCATTCCCCACCACTTTCCTTTTCGGTACGTATCTACATCACCGCTTTTTACCTCTCTATTTCTTTAAATCAATCTTTGAAACTTTTTCGAACTCCTTGATCTTTTTCTTTTTTTTTTTTTGGCTTTGCTTTTCCTATTCCAATGAATATAAGGCGTATAGGGGATCCATCATCCGTGTTATGCTACGATTGAAACAATCAACAGACTCTACTACTTCTCTGCATCAAAGCGACAATAACAAAGAAAGACGTCGCCTTTTAGAAATTCATTTCCTTGAATTTTGACTCTTCATTTCTTGAATTGGATTTTAACTGTTTAATCAAGTTAACCCAAGCAGTGCATCCAGAAACTTAAAGGACGAGGAACTTCTTTCTCTATCTTCATAATTTTATAGCCACCTCGCTGCATTCTCCAAGGAAAAAAATTATAGACTACTGCTTATATAAACTTAGCTGTTTAGACTCTGTAGCCTGCTTTCCAGATCAGCTTGAAGCAACTAAAAAGCTGCGTTTTTTTTTTTTTTGGAATTTTTAGACATCTTTGATCTTGTTGTCCTCGATGGAAGAAGACAAGAAGAAAAAGAAGAACAAGAAAAGAAAGAATAAGCAGAATAAAACAACTGCAGATTCCGCTCCAGGTGATGCTCCTGGAGCATTTTCCGTTTCTCCTTCTGCTCAACACATTCCTGTTACTGAATCTGCCAAGATTAGTTCAGCTCTGGTTGACAACCCAGATGCTCAAGAAGATGATACTGCATCTGGAATGACTTTGAACCCACATGGTGTATGTCTCATTTCTATCACCCTCGTACTCCGCTTGCTGCTTTCTCTGTAGAAGTTACATTTTCATGTGTTGTATTTTCATAATAATCAAGTCTTATTTGCTTGTTAATGCTGTCAACTTCGTCTTTTGACTTGCCCTTTTTCGATTCTGTTATTTTTCATTTCTGAATGCTGGCTGCTGTATCTCATTGCACTGTGCAATTTTACTACTCACTCTAATCTAGGATTCGGCTTTTAAATTATTTTGCAATTCATTACTTATTTTGCTTGTCCTTTGGGTGTGACATTGCAAACTGGTCGTTGTCAATGGAGCAAACTCGTGTAGCTTTTCCGAATTGAATATGTTATGATGATAGTGTTGTATTTTGCTACACTTGATAACTCAGTAATATCTGGTCTTTTACAGGTTATCTTTGAAGAGAAAATTCAAATATTACTACAAGAAAAAAATGCAATCTTACAAAAAGAGGTAAACATAAATAATTCATTAGACACAGAGAGGTATTTCAATGCCAAATCTGTTTATATGTGTGTAATCTACAATTAAACGTATGGAGTTATGTTTCTTCTTGGGTGTTAGATTGGATATTCATTTATCTTTTCCAAATGTAATCTACTGGTGTCTGTGGGTTATGCAGGCTACCCTGCTGGAGAAAATTGAAGAATTGCAAAACGAGAAGGCTGTACATGTGCAGAGAGAGGTAATGCAAGCTATTCTTATTGAGGAATGGAAACTTAGTGTTGGTATTTAAGTCTCTTATTGTTCCTTTTTTTTGGATTTTTTTCTTTTCTTACATGTATTAATGTATGATAACGATTTGAGTCTTTGCAGGCTAGTCTTGAAGAGCAAATTTTACAGTTACAAAAAGAAAAAGATGCTTTCATGCTAAAAGTGGTAAGAAAAGCTGGTAGAGTTGGGTGATTCATGGTTATTGCAATACTGGAGCTAATTTATTTTAAAGGATATTTTTTAGTATACTGCATTTCGTCTAGCTAATTGCTGACTCTCTGGTTATTGGTTGACAAATCTATCACAGGATGCTTTAGGACAAAAAATTCAACAAATGCAGATGGAAAAGGATGCTCACGTGCAGAAAGAGGTAATTGAAGACTTTAAGATTGAGTTTTGCGGATGCGTGTTTTTCTCATATGCCAGTGCTCATTGTATAAGCATATTTTGTTTTTTCATATGGCTAAAGAGATATACTCTTATCTAATAGTGTATCCACTTGATATTCCTCAGAGTGCTTTGGAGGCTGAAGTAGGACACCTGACAAGTGAGAAGGAATCTTGGTATCACAAAGAGGTAACGAAATGATAAAGAAGGGTTATAATCTTTGAACATTTGGACTCCAATGCTACTTTTCTTGTCTTCTGTGTTCTCTGTATTTTAAATATTGGTTAGATGAGTCTAGTTCTCAGCATTCAGGCAGGTTGACAGTATAACTAGTCATAGCGTTCTCAAGAATAAACTTATTTTTGGGAATCAGGATTTCTCTGTTTTACCTTAAAACTATGGTTGTGATGTCATTTCTAGTTTCTCTCAGGCTCACTTTGAAGAGAAAATTAACCACCTTATGGTTGAAGCTGCAACATTGAGCTCGAAAAAGGTAATTGGCTTTGCAATTCACACTTGCCCTCCTCATTGCTTGTCCAAAATAGTCTTTTGCTAGGCTGTATTTGAATTTTTTTTAAAGACTTATGTTGCTTCTTGTTACTTCAAAAGTACTTCTGTCATTTATTATAATAGATAAATTTGTAATCAATGACAGGTAAGCTTAGAGGAATTTGTAAAACAAATGGAGGAAGAGCGAGATTCATGGATATTGCAGGAGGTAATAGATACTTGCATCTGCATGCGTGGGCTTGTATATATTAATGGTACACTTTTAGAATTCTCTGCTCTTCCTTCCCTTTCCACTTTAATTTTGCATTGCTATTTCTGATTTGCCTTTCTTTTCATTCTCTTTTGTTTTTTGCTATAATGGTTAAGCCTTTCCTCTGTGCTTTGATGTTCTTAGATCCAAAATTCATGTATTTTACTTGCATTTGGCTCTAGTGGTGGTAAAAACTCTTATTATACAACTTGTTATTTCTTTATTCGATATAGTTGTCAAATAAGAACATGAGAACTCATTTTTATTCTCACTTCTGCAGTTTTGGTTCCAAATGTCACAATGAAATCGTTGTTTTTTAATCCAATTGATTTTCTTATTTCTGTTTCCTGTTCCATATTCGTGTTCCTGATTGTCTAATGCCTCGGAGTGGGGAGGGATGTGGGTAGATTGCTTAGCTTTGGATCTAATTTTTGTTTTTCCCTTAACAGAATTCATCCAAGGAAGTAATTGCCAAGCTAAATGGTGATAACACGCGACTAAAATCTCAGGTATAGTGTTCCATAACATTGCTTTAGTTGATGTTTTTGTTTCCTCTCCAGTTCCTCTTTCCTTCATCATACTGAAAGAGTGCAGGTGAAAGCATGGAGGGAGTGTACTAATTTCTATTCCTCTCCTTTTCCTAACTTCCTATCCCTAATTGCCAACCAATGTCTGCCCATGCAAAATTTCTTTTTCCTGTTAGACCTCTTTTATGGACCGTAGCATGGTTTATTCATAAGTTAGAGAATGGTTTCTGTTAAGATTAAAATCAATCTAGAGAAGCAAAAAAAAAAAAAGGGAAAAAAACCTGGACCTTTTATATTTAACTTTAGTGGCAGTTGCAGGAGACAGATCATGTTTATTTCTCTTTCTAAAATTTTCAGTAATACATTAAATTTCCTTGTGTTCTTTATGGTAGTGTAACTGCACGATAGTATATGTAGCATGCCATTTGTGCAGATGATGTATTAGAATATAATTCTGTTCCTAGATTCGTCAGTTTCCTCTTTTGGACTGTCCAAATTGTTTATTACGCTGAATACTACACCATAATAGTTAGCCACGTTTCTTAAGATGACTGTTATTTTGATATTGACTACATAATTCACTTGAGCTTGAGGATATTTTTCCAAGTAAAAGCAAATCAAGTTGTAGATGATATACTTATTTTTCTCCGGTGGATGGTTGGTGCCTCAATGCTGAACAAATGTTGAAATAGCATGGCGGTGTTCGGTGTTGTAAAGCACGGATATTAAGATTTTACATTTAGATGGCTAGAGTAGGTGAGCTATGAGTGACAACATCAATGGAAGTCTTCTCTCAAGGCTTGCTCTCTCTCGCTTAAAATACCCTGTTGTCAGTTATCCCGCCATCCAACTTTCTCACTTAAAGAGGCATAATTCTGAGATTTCCTTTTTCGTTTATCTTTCCTGTTGTTGCCCTTGAGATGTGAATGACACAATGTTGTGCACATATTTTCATGTTGCATGATCCTGTATAGGGGAGAATGTTTGTATTTATTCTGATATAGATATTAAAATCAAAGCTTGACAGGTGATGGAGTTGGAAGAATTAAGGAACGGTCTGTTACAAGAAAACCATCTGTTGACGGAAAATATATCCGGTCTGCAGTCACAGATTCTGAGTTTAGAGCGGACTGCCATTGTTTCTCAGTCATCTAGTGATAGCAAAATGGTGGTTAGTTTCCTATAATCTGGTTACATGGATGGTTATTATCATGGATGACTTGTTATTACAATGTGCAAGAAAGAATTACAGGGATATGGGTCAAGTGAATGTAGCTATTGTCTTATGTGATCAGATTAGTGAGATTTTCTTGCCTCACTCCTTTTAATGATGATTTTCCATTGCCAGAGTAATTCTTGTTTCTCGTGTCTCTTTATTAAAATTTTGGTCAGATTAATGAATGGAACTGTTGTATGACAGTAAAAGTTAAACAGTGTTTAACCATCTTTGTGGTGTTCATAACATTTGGGTTTGTGGTTTTGATATGCTGTCTCAGATGAATGAGTTGTACGTTGAAATTGATCGCAATGGTCTGCAACAAGAAATACCTTCAGCTGAAATGCCAACAACTGTTCATCTTGCTGATAGTACAGCTGTTGGGCCGCATCTGATGGTTGGAGCTATTGAAGCACAAGAAAGTTGTCCTGCTAACGATTCAATGGACGAAGCCAATGCCAAGATGCTCGTGCCTGATAATGAAGTGCAGTCGCCGGAAAATAACGTCAACAATGATGCGAGGGGCGAAGGAGAGTATTTGGATGACAAAAAAGATATGCTGGTTACGGAATCCTCTGAAATGACCAAGTCAGATGAAATTGTGCAAATTCCATTGGATGAGAATGAAAACAAAAAGACAGATGTGGAGGCTACCAGTAATGCTGAAAAGACTGTAGTACCGCTCTCAGATGCTCCACTGATCGGTGCTCCATTCCGTTTAATTTCTTTTGTCGCTAGATATGTTAGTGGTGCTGATATGGCGGAGAAGAACTCTGTAAATTTAGGTAGGTAACTCCTCATACTTGTAGTTTTGGGGGGTGGGTGTGTGGTGCGAGATTTTGTAAGCGTCACTTGATGGGAAGTAGAAATACGAGGGAAGTTATTAAGGGCGGAGGGGGCGGGGGGACTAACCGTAGTTGTCGTGAGTAACAAATTGGTCACTCATTGGTTGGGATGGAAAAGTGCTCAATCATTTCTTGAGAGCAAATTGATTGTGTTTTTTTTTTTCCCTTTCCAACCTCTGAAAAGAAGATAGGAAGAGATATCTCGAGGGGAAATTTTCTAGATTGTATTCTCGAATTCAGAACACCTTGTTTGGTTATAGATAGTAGTGATGGACATACTTTGATGTAACCAGGGAACACGCAGGGTTCTTCCCTTCCGTTGGGATTTTTATTGAAGAACATTTTGAAATCAGAGTTTGACAATAGTAACATGTTTCATGAGAAAGATGTACACATTTCTGATATGCTGCTAGTAAGAGATTGCTTGCGCGGCTGTCGAACCAATTCAAGAAGCGGAAGGAAAAATAATCCCCCATCAGAGATCAAACAGAAAGAAGAATGGGGTGGGGGTCTTCGCAGACAACTTAATAGTTAGAATGGGAACATTCATTAGTAGTAAGTGCCACAGCAGGTTCTCCAGGGCTCGTCGTCAATCGGCGGATGTAGGCCTGTTCCCGGGATCGGGTTGCCGTATTTCCTGGATCATTCTCACAACTTGCTCCATATTGGGTCTCATGTCGGGTGTCCTGGCTACACAGGCCATTGCGATCTGCAGCATCTGCACCATTTCGTCTTCAATGTCCGGATTCTTGACAAGCTGAGCGTCAAACACCTCCGCCGTCCATTCTTCTCTAGCAACAGATTGCACCCACCTCGCTAGGTCTACTACCCCATCATGCCCCTGCCCTGCTGGTTGGACAACGGGTGCTTTCCCCGTTAGCAATTCGAGCAGGACCACACCGAAGCTGTAAACGTCAGACATCTGAGTGTATTTCCTCGTCTCGCTCACTTCAGGTGCTCTGTATCCGGTACTTCTACGAGGTAAACCCACGATTGGGGTAACACCGAAATCAGAGGCGCATCCACTCAGGTCTTGGGTGAGCAGGATATTGGACGACTTGATATTTCCGTGACTCAATTTCCGACCGGCAACACAATGGATGTGGGCAATGCCCCTGGCGGCTCCAAGCGAAATCTTTACTCTGGATTTCCAATCCAGCCTTCTCCTTCCATCGGGCTCCCTATTTCCTGCATACATATGTCCACGCATATTAAAAAAACGAGAATGAATTTATTTCACAAATAGATGGGACTCTCGACTCGAAAGCATAAACAAAAGCCTCGTTATATACCATCAGTTGTTATAGACACTAATAGATGATGATAACAGCTGCCAACAAAAAAAAAAGGGGGGGTTACAGTATATATATATATATATATATATATATATATATATATATCAATGGCTATATAAGAACGATTACCATGCAATAATGTGGACAGGCTGCCCAAGGGGACGAAATCGTAGACGAGGAGTTTCTCATCTTTGGAATAGTAATAAGCACGAAGGGAGACAACATTGGGGTGGTGATGGTGATTGACCCTCCAAACATTGTCCATGTGTTGTTCAAATTCCCTTCTTCCCACCACCGCCGCCACTTCTTTGAGCCGCTTCACGGCAACAGTAGTCCCATCCTCCAAGGTTGCCTTATAGGTTTTCCCGGAAGCTCCCTTTCCCAGTACTTCAGCTGACGCTCTCAAGAGGTCTTCCAGATCAAAATTGCCTTCTCCTTGCAAGAAAACCAATTTGTTCTTTTCGGCCTCGCCGCTCCTAGACAAGTAGCCTTCCCCCTCCTCCTTAAGCTGCTTCGCCTCATGGATTTTTCCTCCTCCTCCTCCTCCTCCTCCTCCTCCGCGGAAGGGATTAACTTTCACCAGTACTGCACTAGCACTTGTTTCTGAATCTCTTTTCTTGTTATTCATGCAGCATTGGAACACTATTACTAGGACCAGGAGAATCAGCAATGCACAAGCTCCGAGTGCAATGGGAACAATTGCACCAGTACTTAGCTTTGACTTATTATGCTTTTGAGAAGAAGCTGGTGGTGGTGGTGGCGGTGAGGATGGCAAAGGAGACTGTGCGAAAGAAGAATGAGGAGGAGGAGGAGGAGCAAGAGAAGGAGAAGGTGATGGTACGGCGGAAGAAGGAGGTATCGATGGTGAAACTGGAACACGGCACTGCTGGTTGAGGGGCCTTCCGCAGAGTAAGGAGTTTCCCAGGAATGAGGAAGCGGGGAAGCGCTGCAGAGAAGGTGGGATGGAACCGGTCAAGTTGTTGAAGCTGAGGTTTAAGTGGACGAGGGCCGGAAGCTGGCCGAGTTGATCAGGTATAGGTCCTGTGAGCAAGTTGTTTTGGAGATTCAATCCAGCGAGACGGGTCAAATTGGTGAAGAGTTGATCGGGGATGTTGCCGGGGAAGGAATTGAAGGAGAGATCGAGAAAGGTGAGTTGAGGAGAGAGAGAGATGGAGGAGGATGGGGTTGGAAGATCCCAGCCAGAGAAGTTGTTGCGTTGGAGGTAGAGGTAGCGGAGGGAAGGAAGAGAGAGGATATCATAGGGAAGAGCCCCCGAGAGGCGATTGGATCTAAGGCTGAGGGAGGCCAGGGCATCGAGCCTCCCTAAGGTATTGCGGGGGATAGGAGCATAAAACCCGAAGCCCGGAAGCCGAAGCTCAAGGACACGGGTGGCGTTGGCGGTGCAGGTGACGCCGGCCCAAGACCTGCAGACTGAGGATGATGATGATGATGGTTGAGCATTCCAGTTGAGTTTCCTGGCACGGGGATGAGGAACTGCAGAAGCGAAGTCCAGAAGGGCTTGTTTGTCTGAACTTAGATCAGCAGCAGCGACGACAGTAGTATGTTTTGGGAATAGCAGATGAAGCAGCAGCTGCGCCAATATGATCCCCCCATATTGATATCGTGGCCTCAACATGCTACTAGCTACTACAGTTAGTGAATTGAAGCTCCCCACAACACCACTCGGCCATGCATCACTCACTGCGCAGGACAGTAGCTAATTTCTTGATTCATTTGATCAATAGTAGTAGCAGAGTGGATATGTGTGTACCTTTTCTTTGGTTGCATGGAGATCTCTTATGCAGAGGTTGATATCATCATATAGGTAGCTAGCACCTTTTTTTGTTTTGTTTGATGCATGAAAGGAATAATAATTTAATGACAAGAAGGTTTCATTTCTGTGGGTTGAAGTCGAATGTATATGTACGTTGTCTCCATCTTCATAAGCCCAATGTGGAACAGTGGATGTAAATACTTTTGGTGACCTTTCCTTGTACCCTTTTCTGTCTTGAGTTGACTACTCTGTCTTCTCCCAATCATTTTGCCATCGTTTTCCTCTCTAACGCACCCTCCCTCATGCTTGTCTTTTTTCTATTTTACTCTTTCATTCATCTTCTTGGGCCCGCTCACATTTAAGGAGAGCATTAACTGCTATTATTGGTAACCTAAGTCTACTATTTAGAGGAGGAGTAATTAATTGTTCAGCTTCTCCGTCAAGCAAACAAACGGCAGCTCTCTTTTTTTTGGTCAAGGAGTTTGTTTGCGAGAGGAGCCTTGACCCCTCCTGCATCACTATGGCTTTTTCTGGTACACTACTAGCCTACTGCTGCTACGTGAATTAAATGTTTATTACCCAACACAAGTAATCTTATTGGCAGTTGGATTTCTGTTCAAGTAATCGTACTCCTTTTACTCCTTCCTACGCATTCGCTAAGGTATTCCATTGGTAAGTGCACCTGCTCCTACATATATATATATATATATATTCATTAAAAAAAAAAAAAAGAAGAAAGAAGCTTCCATCGGCGCATGGGTCGTAACACAAATTGCCCTTTTTTTCTTTGTCAAGTGGTGCAAGATAGCATTGCTTTGACCACAACATTGTGCTGCTGAGGCCGATTTGGGATCCTCCTGACAAGTTGCAATTCATACGTTTCCGCTACTACAGTCGTAACAAATATACTGCTACTACTACTCTATTATCGTTCCTCGGCCAGTCGTAACAAACAAGTAGCCAACCAGACCTGCATTCTGACAACCACCGACTGAAGCAAATATTGCATTACGCGCTCTGACAATAAAATTCTCAATCACTTTTAGGCTGTAAGTGTCGCAAGGAACTCGTGAAATCCGCAGGTGGAGTCAATCGCTGAAGCCAGCCAAATGCGCATGAAGGAATATATTTGTTGGCAAACAACCAACCAACCAATAGAATGATAAAATGGCACTTCTAAACAAGAAGATTAACAGCAGTTTATTCGACACATTTTCTTCTCTCTCAACCTTTATATTACCAAATAACGCGAGGGGAAAAAAAAAAAAAAAAAATTCACTGCCACACGGAAATGCACTTCATGCAGGTAAGGTTACAAGGGGTCAAACGGCTCTGGTAGAGGTTCAAACCCACTGTCAAAAATGGCTCCTTGGTCGGATTTATCGTCTAAACTATGCAACCAATTAGTGTTCTTTAAATCCTCTTTAAGTAGAAGGGTGTCATACCGGGAACTCTCATACATGTCAACAACTGTCAGTTTTGCCGGATATTGAGACTTGTCTTCCTCATTTCCGTTTTCCAAATACCTACCGGCATGATAATTCCCATGTTCTGTACCATCCCCATTATGGAAGATGGGGGCATCTCCATTGCCTGAACCTTGTTTAATCACAGTCGGACCGAGTTGACCTTTGGTACTGCTGGATCGTATACTTTGTGGGAAGAGGGTCGAACCTGAGAGAGCACGATTTCCACTGGTCCCGTTTCGTATGTCCTGAAAGAGAGTATAAACAAATAACCATTAACAAACCATAAATTTATTCTTTCTAACCACATTCTGAAAAATAAATTGTTTATGCTAGGTCCCACCGACCTTTTCTTAGCGCCACCCAGAAGGCTGAACAAGCATCCCTCCGCATCAATGAACCAGTAGTGTCACTCTAGCATGCTTAGTTTTCTCTTCACGGAAATTATTTTTAGAAACCTCTTTGTTATGAGATGTTACTTTCTTTTTATCCATAATGATTTTTATCCCTCCACACTTCTATGGATGTGTCACTTTCTTTGTTATTTTCCTGGTAGGTAAGGGTGTTTAGAGGGTTGGACAATATTCACTCTTTTAGCTTTTTCACCGTTCAATAACAGCAAATAGCAGCAGAACTTAAACCTACATGTAAGGAGATATGCATTCGAGGTCTACATGCACGTTCCCCTATGTATTCCTCAATAAAGATAATACATGAACAGGCACATCTAGGAAAACATGGGGATGGATTCTTCAGTGAAAGATAGTCGTTAATCAAAGCAACACTGTAGTGAATAACAGAGGAAGCGAGAAGCAGT